TTCTCGACCGGCACGACGAGACCGTCGGCCTGGCGTCAAAGAAGAGCGGCTCGGACGTCTCGAGCGCAATACCCGTGTCTTCGTGGAACTTCGAGCGAGAGCTCCGTCGAGACGTTGGTCGAGATACGAAAGTTTGGGCTTTCTCCGGGTTCGAGTAGCCGTGAAAGTGGTCCAGATGCAGACCGTTCTTGACGACATCGACCACGTCGCTCTTGCTGTGGCCCGCCAAGACGTGCGCGAGCTTGAGCGTCTCGAGGTCGAGGAGCTCGCTGTACTTGGCGTAGAAGGCCGCGTACTCGGGACAGATGGCCGCCACGGACGCCGGCACGCCGTCCTGGACGCTCGTGCTGAGCGTCTCCTTGACCGTGTCGTCGACGAGCGTCTTCTGGAGCTTCTCGGGAAAGTCGGCCGTGTTGGCGATGCAGTTGGCCGCGGCTTCCATGTAGGCGGAGCGCACCTTGTCAAAGTCGGGGATGTTCTTGAGGTTGACGATGCCGTTGGTCTCGAGCGCGTCGACGAGCGCGTTGGCGTCGGCGGCCGAGAGGTTGTCGAGGTCGAACGCCGGGATCGTGTACGCCGGGTAGTCGAAGATGCTCGCCGCCATGGCCGACGCGAGGAACGACAGGATTGCGAGCTTGGAGGCCACCATGGCTGTTGAGAGAAAAAGCAAAAGTGAGGACACCGTGAATAGTACAGGCGGAGCACGTCGTAGGATTCACCCGCCGAAGGCACCCAAGCACCCTCCGACCCTCCGTGGATCTTGAGATTCCGCCCAGATCGTCGCACTGTGCGTAATCGCTTCGGGTGGATTGAGCAGTACCTTGTACGTGCTAGAATCAGATGCAACGCCAATTCCAGAGGAGCGCCTTCCGCCCGTGGACGACAACTTGCAGGGTTTTTCAACTTCGAGGCCGTTTCTCCGCCGAGTGTCCACAAGGGAGAAAGTCGGAGGATATTTATTCTCTCGTCTCGTCTCGTCCATTGGACTCTAAGAACCAATGAAGATTTCAACAACAGCCACAAGATGTGTTGGTACACCGCAATTGAAAATCTCGACCGTAGTACTTCGACCCCGTGGCAACTGCGGTGCAAGGGACGAGTCCGACAGTTTGTTTATGCAAAATCGCTCGCGCGATGGATACAGTGGCGCTTGCGACGGTGCCAAGTCGACCACCGGTATAGGGAAGCCCGAGCACAGCGTTCAAGTCCAAGCAGCCCCATAGTCGTGAGAATAGCTCGGGCTTTGTCGAGACAGGTTGGCAGCTGCGTGACGGCCGCACGACACACAGATGATCCAAAAAGACCAGGATAAAAACGCACCAGGTCGTCCATTCAACAATTGCGGTCGCTACAAGATGACACCGTGGTCCACCTCGGCAACGAACATCGCAACGCCACATCTGGGAGCCTCTTGGCGTCCTAAACAGCCACATGTTGGGTCGTTGAAATGGATTGATTGAGGCTGCAATTGTTGGCGCTAGCCGCGGCATTGTCCCAGGGACATTCGACGGGGTCCTTCATCCTGTGACGAACGCAGTCACCGAAATATGTAAAAGCATCGCGCACATGTGCACCCATACCGCCACGTTTTGCAAGTAAGCGGTGCCATACAAGTAACCCTACGTCGTATGCAGCAATAGTACGCTGCCATGGATGGGGCTGGGTGCATGGTACGTGTACTTGCCGGCTGCACACGGCGAGGATTGTAGACATGGACGCACCCAGTGCACAAGTTAATCAGTAGTGCGCTGTGTTCAGTGGATGGATGGTTGCCACGTACTTGATGTACTTCTACGTGAGAAGCATCCTATCTCATACGCTCACTGCGAGAGACCCGTGTCTCTACTGCGGCAAATGCACCACAAAACGCGTCTAGATAGCCCAGCACATGCTGTACGACTGACTGCGTAGTTTGCCCGATTGACTTGAGAGTTTGTGGCTCGAATACTTGGCCATTGTATGACAACTTTTCGAGAGTAGAGTTGCGATTCCTACGATCTCGTTCAATGACGTGGCAGCATCGCACAACAGCTAGCCCACCTGCTTCGGAGTTGACATGAGTCGATGGGATTTAGTGAGATTGGAAGAAGCAAGACCATGAATGCGCTTATGTGACGGTGGTGCTGCGAGCGACAGGGGGATTTCGGTGTTCCTGCGTGTGGACCGGGCTCCAACCTTCCTCGACTTGACCAAAGCACGTCACTCAACCGTCATCGATCTTGCAATTATCACGTTGATATTTTGATGCAAGAGCACATGACAATTGTGTCCACACACGTCATTTTGTTTTACCTGATGGCTCGTTTAACGCGCTATGGGATTCGTTTAGCACCGCATTTATTCTTGGCGGTAACCGACTGTCGACGGCCGTGAAGAGCATGGACGAGACGGGCCAAGAGGATGAGGTAGATCCTTGCAGTATAAGGCGGTACGAGACGTATCTCTAGAAGGTCTTTGGGCGGTCCAACTCGGTGACCAAGGTCGCGTCGCTCCTCGCTGGCGGCGCGTCCGTGCCCAAGTCCAACAAGGAGGCGCGCGCGCTCGAGGCGCTGGCGATGAAGGACGAGCAGCTGCGAATCCTAAGCGAGCAAAACAACCAGCTCCTCAACACACTCAACAACATGGACGACGAGCTACAGTCGCTGAAGATGGCCAAGCTCCAGCTCGAGGACGACAACCGGAGTCTTCGTGACAGCAACTTCGAGCTTCAGAGCCGTGCGCGGCCGCGGACGCGCACCTAAAGAAAGCGGAGGTACGTGTATCTTGATGGTACTAGGGTATACTATCGCCAAGGCATGTAGAACAGCATGGAAGAGAAGGAAATGCAGATCAAGGTGCTCACCGACCACAACGGCGAGCTTCTCCGACTGCTCGAGATCGAAGAGAGTCAATCGGGGACACTCGCCAAAGAGAATGCGTCGATCAAGCTCGACGCGGATGCGCTTGCAAGCAAGTACGCGTCGCTCATGACGACGGCCAAGACGCACGAAGAGATTGCGGGCCGTGCTGTGCGAGACAGTCAGCTCCGCGCCGAAGAAGTCCGCCTCCTCCGCATCGATACGGACCAGCTGCGAACGTCCAACAACGAGCTCAAAATGAAGGCGCAAGTCGAGCTCGAGTCGCTCCACGAGCAGCTCCGCGTATGATTTCTGCAAGCGTGTAAACTGTTGAGTGACGCGTGTGTAGGTCCGGAAAGAAAAACAATATCAACTATTGGAGAAGATCCAGTCGCTCGAGGAAGCCAAGCGCCAGAGTGACGATACGCTGCACGGCATGGAAGAGCGCGTGCGGCAGCTGCTGGAGCAAGGCCAGGAGCGCGAGACGCAGCTGCAGCTCGAGAGCAAGGTCAAGCGCAGCCAAATCGACGCCAACAAACACCTTCAAGTCTCGCCCTCGATAGTTTTCAGCAGGCCACTGATAAACTTGGTTTGCCTAGGTGGAGAACGACCAACTGGTGGCCGACAAGCATACGCTTCAAGCACGTTTAGAAAAGGCCGAGCAAGAGCGTACGCGCATGGAGGCTGAGAACCGTGACTCGGCCGACCAGCTGCGGGAAATGGCCGAAAAGGTCAGCTTTGTGCCGCGTGCTAGACCACCGATAGACATTTTTGGCTAGGTGTTTCAACTGCTGGAGCGACTCAAGCTCGCCGAGCTTGGCAAAACCAAGTCGCTCGAAGCGCTCAAGCAAAAGGACATGGAAATGGTGTCCCTCAAGAAAAAGAACGCTCGCTTGCTCAAAGACGTGACGCAAGAAGGCAAAAGTCGGGTGAAAATCGAGCTCGACAAGAATGTGCTCTTGGAGCAGCTCCAGGTGACGTGAGTTGGATTGTTCAAACTCAACGAAACGGGTAGGCGCTGAAAAAACACAATGCGCAACTGAGCGTCCGTTGTCGCGACGAAGTAAAAGCGAAACTCAAAGAGACGGAAGAGCGAACGCTATTGGCCGAGAAGCTCAAAACGATGAGCTCGCGACTGAGCTTTCTTCTCAATAAGATGCAAGCCGACGAAGAAGCCAAGCTCTGTACAAAAGAAGACATGAAGAAAATGCAAGCACAGATCCAGAGCCTCCAGGACAAGAACACGGAGCTCGCGCAAAAGCTCAACACGACCGGCGACAGCAACCGCGTCGTCACCGAAGCGCTTCGCTGCAAACAAGTAATCATTTCGTCCTCAACCACGCACACAAGTGCATAACATCTTGCAGGAAGAGCTGGATACGGCGCTTATCAAGCTTGAAGCGCTCTCCACCAAGCTGCTCAACCAGACGCTGCCAAGCGCCGATATGGCGGTTGTCGACTCGGGCGAAAGCAGCAACCAGGCCCACGATATGCCCGCGGACGACAAGGAGCACGAAGCCGCGGGCCGGTTCTTTGTCGAGTGCCGGTCATCGCACGGCGGTCTCCTCGTTATCAAGCCCAAGCGCAGCAACAACGGGTGTCAAGAGTACCTCGACAAGCTCGGCATCAACCATTTCCTCAAGTGGGCGCAAAAACAAACCAACACCAAGCAGCGCCTCGTCGAGAAAGTCGCCGTCCTCGTGCATCAGCTCATGATGAGCGAAGAAGCGACGCTCGGCGTTCAGGAGATGCTCGCGTCCAAGCAAGATCATTTAGATCACGTCGGCAAGAAGGCACAGTGGCTCCAAGAACGGCTGAACGCAGAAGAGGACGCGAAGCGGAAAACACTTCTTCGGTAGGTTTGAAGTGCTGGCTTTGTAGCGATTGCATTTGACGTTTCGCAGGTATGTGCACGAGATCAAGTCGCGTACGCATGTCGAAAACACCCGCGTCATTTTGAAGCTGCCGGAAAGCGGCGTCGGCGACGAAGAAGTGCATGCGATAGCAGCACTCTTGCGCAGCAACAGCTCGATCCAAGAGCTCCAGTTGCAGTCGAATACAATCACAAGTCTGCGACGAGCTCGCATGTCGTCATCAAATCTGATGTTTTTCAATTATGTAGGCGAAGGCGCCCGCGCCATAGCTGCCATTTTGGCGCTCTCGACCTGTGCGCTAACTCATATCGATTTGCGCAAAAATCACATTGGGGACGACGGTGTCCGCGTACTCTCGGAAGCCCTCGGGCGCAACCCGCGCATCAAGCACGTGTACGTCCACGCAGGCGGCAAGATCGAAGCGCTTGGCGCCCAGCCGTCAAGTACGAGCGCCGACGGTCTCATCCAAGTCGAGACCATTTGCGTTATTGACGTACGAGAAAACGACGCCGGGCGGTCGTCGCTGGCGCTGGACCTCGACACGATCGACCATGGGGCCGTTGCACCACGTAGATACGCGATGTTTGAGACGTGGTGTCTGAGAATATTGCTGCGTAGTGCCCTCGTCCGTGACGGGCGACACCAAGCTCTTTGCCAAGCGCAGTACGACGCTAGAAGTCGCCAACGCGGCGGCGCTCGAGAAGAAGCGTGAGTGGGCCAAACTGCAAAAGTCCAAGCGCCTTGCCGCGATCGAAAAGAAAAGCCAAGCAAAAGAACAGCTCTGGAGTGGGCGCGCCGGCGGCCTCGAAGTCGCTCACCCCAAGAAACAGCTGCCGCCGCTCGACGATGCCTCGGTACGCACTGAAGGGTCACTTTCGATGCAGCGAGATTGATCGAGTCTTGCGTAGACAAAGACACTCGAACGATCCTTGTCGGCGCCGTCCGTCAACGACAAGAAGGCAGGCGACGAAGGCGTCGATGGAGCCAGCAAAAAACATATTCAAGCAGCACCCTTCAGTCGACGGCTAAAGGAGTCGCCACTCGCCAAGCCCACCTAAGCCGTCCCGCGGAATAGGCAGCACCAACTAGCCTTGATAGGATGCGTAATAGCCACACGATACGCGACGACTTGTCGTCTTCTAAACTACCTACAAGTAGTATCTCCGTGGTGGACAAACAACTGGTCAACACAAATGAAGACGAGTTGTACGATCCCATGCCGAGCGGATATCACCTAGAATGGACAAGAATCGTCCATTTCTTCCAGCTCGGAAGACCAAAGTAGTGCGATATGACAATGTTGCAGTGTAGTTTGAGTTGGATAGTATCCAACTCCAACTACACTGCAACATTGTCATGCGGGCGCCGACTTTTTCTTTGAGATGGCGCAAGTCGTGCTCGAGGTCGGTCGAGTCCGGGTGGCCTTCCGGGTACCCGGCGACCGCGATGCAAGTCGCCAAACTCTTGGCGAATGTACTTGACGAGGTCGAGCGCATACGAGAACCCGCCATCGCACTCTTCAAAGGTCGTCTTGCCGCGCGAGGATGTTTTGAATGCCTGCGTCTTTCGCCGCGTCAAGCGCGTTCTTGATGCTGCCGCGGCTCATGTTGGTGCACGCGAGGTGCATGAGCATCTCGAGGCCCGAGAACTTTTGGTCATATCGCAGAAGAGCGGGTCCATTAGCAGTCGATGCGCGACGTAGTAAACATATCTATCTTATTATTGCTCAACATCTCCACGATTCGTATGAGCGGCACGTTCTGCGTCATTCATAGCTCCAAACATCATCATGTCTTCATCGTCGTACGCGTTTCGGGCGCTCTGGAGACAACAGAGCACAAAGGCAACGACGAGGCTCATCGCCCCCAGCGCGACCGCCGACGCTGCGAGTGCCTTTGCATCGCGTTGGATCTTGGCGGGAAACGTCGTGTGGTAGCATACGTCCGCGAACGACGTGTCGTATCTCGGCTTCATCATGGCATAGCGGCACGCGGGGCTTAGCTCCGGGTAGATCTTCGGGCTGCGGTAAAAAATGCAAAAGGTCGACAAACCATCGACCCGCGCATTGCGAACGCAGTTGTCGTCGATCCAGTCGCTAAATGCCGACGTCTCGTGCATCCGTTGGCAGCCGTCGCAGAGCGCGCTCAACGTCGGCTCGGCCGTCAAGACACTTGGCGTCACTTGGTCGCAAAAGTTGGTCAGCGTCGACGAGTTGGTCATCGGGACGTCAAAAACGTTGTGTTTTTCGCCGCGCTCGCAATTCGACGGGTAGCGCTGTCCGTCGCGTTGATGAGCCCGAACCGGAGGACGGCGCGCATCGGGAAGCTGTCGCAGTAGACGTGGCCGCGCTTGGCGCAGTACGCTTCGTCAAAGCGCTGCTTGAGTGTTACGTTCTTGCCGTCCATTGATGAGCAGTTGACATCCGAAGGCGGGGTCCAGTCAAAGGTGTCTGTTGTTGGGTAGTACGCGCCGCGGAGGCCGACTCTCCACAAGAAGCTCTGGTCTTCTAGCGTAAGCTCCGTGACGAGATCTGGATCATGCGCGCACATAAAGGCAGTGACAGCGATGGCCGTGAGGAGCGCGACGTGGAGCAAGCTCAGCCACGCGAGCGGTGTCAGCGTCGCCAGCTTGGACGCGCGAACGACGTACACTAGAGAGAGGATACCAACGACGAGGCTGGCGCCAGCACACGAGAGCGACACGGCGCCCGGAAGGAACGGTAGCATGTACGAGGACCCGAGCGCGATCAAGACGACGAGATCGTAGAGCAGCACGAGGCTCGTGGCGCCAAGAAAGACGCGGAGCTGCCACGAGAGGAGAAGCATGCTCGGCAAAGGCAATTGAAAACTGTCCATTTAGAGTGTCATCCACGCGCGACATGTTGACGACATCCCACGTAATCCGCATTGTCCACGCGAGAGGTGGATTCAAGATGGCCATAAACCCTGGCTGTCATACGCTGGGTTCCACTCATGGGCCATGCGTGGAACCCAGCGTATGACAGCCAGTCGTCCCTCTGGCCGATCTTACGCGCTTGCGTCTGGTGTAATTGTCTTTGGCTCGAACGCAACAACCGTGTCTTCCGCTCGACGCTGACGCAACTTCCCGCTGCCGCGCTCGCGATGCGGGCAGCCACTATCGCAAGACTGCATGTCCGGCACTTGGCTCGTCGCGCTGTGGTGCCATCTCTTGACGCGTCGCTGGCCGCTCTCCGCGACGACCCTAGGTGTGCACGCTACCTGGTCCCTCGCACAATCTCGAATCACGACCACTAACGCTCCTCGCTGACGCACCGGCCACGCCTCACGAGCGCATTATGAAGTCCACCATATCTTCATAATTGCATGTATTAAAACCAACAACGCTATAGCTTATACATGCCTCTTGCTTAAAATGCAGTTTCCTTCTCGTGTTACCGAACAAGTTACTACATCATCATTGAGACACCACTACGCTAGCTCGCTTCTTATCATGCAGCATCCATGTACAGTCGTTTTGCTACGAGTTGAGCAGACTCGACTTGTCCGAGTGGCGCCGAGGGGTATCCAGAAGCGTCTCGTCTTCGTCCTCGTCCGACATGGAGTACGGCATCGCAATCGACTCCTTCTTCACCTCCAAGTCGAGCATCGACGGTGTGCGCGGTGACATCATCCGGGGTGAAAGCACCTGCTTGGGTGCTTGGACGACCGTCTCTTCTTCATCGCCGTCATCCGGTAAGACCGTCGAGGCTTCCGAGGTGGTGGACGGTGCCAACGGCTTGTCTTCCTCGCTTTGGACGACGTCGAGAGCAACCCGCAGCCCGGCGTCGTCACCTCGCTGCTCTTTCGTCGTCACGGGGGCGTCGAGGTTGCCTGCGAGAAAGGTTTGGGTCCGGATCTTCTCTGGGAACTCGTCGTCGGCGCGTTGGAGCATGTAGTCTTGGTAGCTCGGCATAAAATTATGGTACGCGTCGGCGACAATGTCCTGGACGCTCAGCACTTCCTTCATGTTTTTGACGACCTCGGACGCCGGAATCGCTTCGCACGTGTTCTATGTACACATTGTCTCGCGATATATATAGACATACATATATCTATGGAGCGAGATACCCGGAATTGGCTCGCCCCAAAAGAGAAAAAATACATGATGGCCACCGGCGCCATCTCGAGCGCGAGCACAAAGTCGTTCCAAGCAAACGCTTGCTCCTTGGAAATGTCAGGAAAGTCGTCAATGAGCAGCGTCTGCCAAAACGTCAAGAAAATGACACTTTTCACGGCGAAGAATTTCAGGACGGGCGAGAACGGTGCGAGAATGTGCTTGGTCGCGAGGTAAAAAACGAGGAGTCCGTAGAGTGCAATGCTGTAGCTCACGTTGTAGACGATCCAGAGAAGCCATTGAAACCCGTCCGATTCGTACGCGCCGACTGCAAGCATGAGCAGCGAGAGGACGGCCATGAAGGGCTTGAGAAACACAAACTGGATCGTCGCCTTCTTGCAGTTGCGGAGGAGCCGACCGTCGCGCGCCATGGGCGAACAGCAGTAGCCAAGGAAACGGGTGCGGGATCTCGGCCTCGGACACCATCTTGCTCACACAGAGCGATTCGCCACCTGCGCCGCAGTGTTGAGTCCTAGCAGCATGCCGAAGTGCGTACCGGCAAAGGCGAGGACGAGGTTGAGGAAGCTGTACACGACAAAGGCCTCGTACATGTCCCGGACGATGTTGAAGTACGCGGCTTGGTGCACAAACTTGAACGAGAGAAACGACCCGACTGCGTAGACGGGCACGATGAGCAAGATGCGCAGGATGTACCGCTGCAGATGCGGCCGCGTGTACGCGCGCAAGTGCTGGTACATGCTAAAGGCCGTGAGCGCCGACGCGAAGAGCGCGGCCAGCGCGGCCACCAAGAGGAAATAGCCTCGCTCGGTCTCGATGAGGCTCAGCGGGATGCCCAAGACGGTGCCATTGCCCGTGACGTCGCCGTCCAAGATGACAGTCTCGTTGATGGCCTGCATGGGCGCCTACTGCAGCTACAGAACGCGCTGCATGAGCCAGCAGCATGGCGGCGCGTACCGTCGTCGGCTCCGCCTCTGGAACTGCCACTTGCAGTTTGTAGGCTGGCCGGTTGAAACCGCTGTATCGACTTGGGGTTTGTATGGTTGTATTTTTAGATCTATTTTTTAAAATGCTCCACGCGCTCCATACATTTTGAAAAAATGCACGCACCGTTTTTTTAATACACTCGGGTTTGGATCTCGGAAGATCGCAACACTACCAGACAGCCCCGGACAGGGCGCGCCGACACCGCGCGAAGGATGGCCTCGTCGAAGGTGCTGCCAACCATGTCGAGGAAGTGACGTCCAGTATGAGCCTACGAAGCCCTAACTAGAGCTATGCCCCAAGCCTTGGGCCTTGGGTGACCGCCCACATGCACCGACAGAATCTGCCCTCGGCCCGCCGAGACGCCATAGATTTCACGGTGCATAAACGATATATTGGACCAGAACATCAACAGGCCACCAGGAACCGAGCGTGTCGAGCTTGGAATGGAATGATTAAGTGGGTTACTTGCAACGGAGGGTTTGGCCGGCGCAGATCTGGGACGATGTGGCGCAGGTCGAGAGCACCTTGGAGCACACCATCCAGCAGTTGACACCTTGCGTCGTAGCGCTGCGCATGCACTTGTTCTTGGCGCAGTCGCTCGCGTAGTGGTCGTTGTTGCACCACTGCGTGCAGTTGGCGTCGGTCACGCGCGACGGGCTGCCCGGCGTCGCCTTCCACACGCCGTACGTGCACGCAGCGTCCATCGCGACAAGTTTGCGGCCGACGGGGCACCCGATAGGCATCGCATCGTGGTCGACCAAGTGGCGCGCAACGCGATCGTTGTACTGTTCGAACGAAAGGCCCGTGTTGGTCATGACATGCGACGCCGGCAGGAGCAGCATGCGACCCGAGAAGGCGCGAAGGACACCAGGCGCCGTCGGCATGACCATCCCGTGAAGCACGCTCGGGAAGGTGTGGCCAAACCCGCCCCACTGCGTCACGCCGTCGCCGACCATGATCGTGAGCTCGTCTTCCTTGAGCGTCGGGTGCACGCGCGTCGCGTTCACCTCGATGATCAATCCCGCGGCCGGGACTGGCGGCGCCACAGCGTCACCGTGGTCGTTGAAGAAGAGCGGCGCTGACGTGAGGAGGAAGAGACCATTGTCCGTGTGCATCTGCAGCGTCAGGTCGTCGCGCGATGTGTCGGTCGCTTCGAGTCGAGTGTAGCCGTGGAAGTGGTCGAGGTGCGCGCCGTTGGCGACAACGTCCGCGAGGCTCGTCGCGTTTGGCACGTGTAGCAAGGTTGCAAGAGACGTCGTGACGGTGTCAAGCAGTGACGTGTACGCGTCGTGGGCCAGATCGAGGTCCGGGCACTGCGTCGCAATCGCGTCGCTCAAGCCGTGCGACGACCGGCTGCTCAGCGTCAAGCGGCGCGTGGCGTCAGCAAACGTGCGCTGCTGGAGGCCGGGAAAGGCGTCGTGGGTCGCGACGCAGACCGCAGCCGCCTTCATGTAGGCGGCGCGCGTCTCGGCAAAGCGAGGGATGTTCTTAATGTTGGCAATGCCATGGGCTGCGAGGGCCCGGAGGAGGCCGTCGGGCGCCGCCAAGTCAAAGGCCGGGATCGTGTACGACGGGTACGTCGCGGCGAGGGCGGTGGCAGCGAGCAGCGCGCTGAGCGGCAGCCAGAGCGACACCATGTGCGCAGTCGAAGGCAAATCGAAAAGTGAAAAGGCAAAGGTGGCGCAAGGTTGGCTGGTCGGCCAAGACCGAACGCGCCATCTCCGCGAACCAGGATATCTATCTCTACCGAAGAGGCCTGCTGGGTTGAAGGCTTCTCGAGCGGTGGGGTACTCGGCTTGCTCTCGCTCGTGTGCCAGGCCACCGGAGGAGATGCGATGATGTGCATACAGGATACGCCTTCGAAAAATGATTTGGTTGTCGAACTCTGAAGGAATCGACATCAATTGGAAGCTCTACCGTCCAATGCAATGCGTTGACTGCGCATCTGCTATGACCTCTGCAACCTTTGGAGCCAGGACCCTCGGTATTGGCTACCGGAATTGAAATATTGCGCAGAAAGGGCCAGCACTTTCGGTCGCACTGGGTGCAAAACGACGTGGCCAATAACGTCAATTTTACATGTTAAGATCGTCTCGGTCGTGCCAATACGAGATGGCGCGATAAGTTGGTCCGTGTGTTCTCAGGCCGACACACTTCAAATGAAGCGAATATTATTAGGAGATGAGAGAAGAGCCTCACGGTCATGGTCCGCGTCCCACTTCTAGGAGTGAGTGCAAAAAAGCTCCGTCCTTGGCAAAAACATCTTGGTGGCTTATGCGCTCTCAATGTCGGCTTTAACAGCACCAGAGACGGTGCGTCGAACGATGCTTGTCAGAGTCTCTCAAGCCTTCGTCTGCAAGGGATCCGGATCCGGATAAAGATTTGTTTTGATCGTCCATGATACACAAGCATGGCGATCTAGTTCAGTCAAGGTTTCCCGCAAATGAAGCAGCGTGGAGGAGTTTTCGATACCGCGTCAACGCAGTTCTCGACGTTCATACACATATACGTAGTACGTATGGTGCGTGCTGTTTTAGAGTAGTTCGTTTTATACCCAAATTGGTACTCTAGTACAAAACTTTGAAAAACAATATTGACGCAACAAAGCCAACGACAAAAAGGTAATATCAGAAAACGCTGCTAATTCAATTCAACAACAATCTATTCTGAAATTGGGAGAGATACAAGCGATTGCTAGATTAGCACGCTGGCTTGGTCGTAGGGGCATCTGTGACCGCAGCGGTAGGAGCCGCGGTAGGGGCCGACGTCGGGGCGTCCGTGGGAGCTGCCGTGGGAGCAGCAGTCGGAGCCGCAGTAGGAGCCTCGGTAGGAGCCGCAGTCGGAGCCACAGTCGGTACAGGCGTCGGAGCCTTCGTCGCCGGCGTCGTGCACGAAATCGCCTGGCCCTTGCACGTTTGCACCGCGCACACATCAACCGGCAACGGCGCCACGCACACCATCCAGCAGTTGATGCCATCTTGCGTACCCTGGCTCACGCAGCAGCCATCCGACCGGCACTTGTCCATCTTGTGTTCGTTGTTGCAGTCAAACATACACTGCTCCTTGGTCTTGGAGCACGTCGGACCCGGCACCCAGAGACCCAGCTTGCACGCACCGTCCATGGCCATGAGCTGGCGGCCCACCGGACACGCCAGCGACGCAATACCGTTGTCTTCGTTGAGCAGGTGACGCTTGATCGACTGGCCGTACTGCTTGAACGTCATGCCCGTGTTGGCCATCTTGACGTGGCCCTGCAGCAAGAGCATGCGACCCGTGAAGCCGCGCATCACCGACGACGCCGCGTTGCGCGGCATGATCATGCCGTGGTTGACAGGCGGCAGCTTCAGGTCAAAGTAGCCCCAGTCGCGGAAGCCCTGGCCGATCATGACCGTGAGCTCGTCACGCTTGAGCGTCGGCGCACGCGACGACCGTTCTCGCCCGGCAGCTCGATGATGAGACCCGTGCGCTTGTCCGGGTTCTCGACCGGCACGACGAGACCGTCGGCCTGGCGGTCAAAGAAGAGCGGCTCGGACGTCTCGAGCGCAATACCCGTGTCTTCGTGGAACTCGAGCGAGAGCTCTGTCGAGACGTTGGTCGAGAGAC